GGGCACTGTGGCTCACTCCCTAAGGCGTCAGTTCACTTCAGGATGAGTCGGCCATGTGGCACCCTGAGCCGGGATTAACAAGCAGAGAGCAGTTTGTCCCGACAGCCGCTCGCCGAAGGTAAACCAGTCAAACTCAGTGTCTGTTGATTGACAAGCTGGGGGTACTGCAGTGCGGTCCTGACCCGTCGACCAGGTGCTAACCTGCAAACGGTGCATAGGATTTGATAGGAGCACGTGCACGATTTGAAATCTTAAACGCATGATGCATATCAGACATTTTATCAGTGAGAGGAAGAGCTTGCAATGTCAGTGTTTACCATGTTTCTCGACACAGTTTCTGCCATAATAGATGTAAGCATGAGTCAGCCATTTACAAAACATGCACAGCAGCACATTGATTATACTTTTATCCTTTTTCTTGGCCTTTGTATCCTTTTCAAATAAATGAAGTGTCTCTGTACCTTCCTTCTTACACCAAACTGTTGTTTGTGTTGCAGCCTGTCCAGCAAAACACAAGCAACACCTATTTCCACATCAGGTAAGTGTTGCTCATATACATAATATAGCAACATGGTAATTAATTAAGAGCTTGCCCTCCAGTTTAATTATGTTCTTCAAAGCTAGATAGATTGAGGTCATGGCACATTTTTATCGCAAAGCTAATCTTATACTTTCCTCTTTTGAGCTGCTCCAGTGGAAGCCTCCCAGATCCAACCCCAGAGCCTTAAAAGGGGGACTTCTCATGTGTCAGCTGGCCTCCTTGTCACTGTGACTGCAGGAGTCACAGTGACAGGGATTCATGTTAACCATTTGCTCAAAACCAGCCAAACATCTAATATTGATTACATTTCAAGCATCATCTCACAGCAGGTTTTCTGCAGCTTCTAACTTAAAATATTCAAAAGAGAAATTGTCAAACAGAAAATATCCTGTTGGGTATAATTCTCCTAAATTCTGAGACCAAACTGGTGCTAACATGACATTCATGAAAATCTAAGATAATCATCGCCCCCGAAACACAAGGCTAAGCTCACAGTCGGAGCAGCTCTGAGAGGATTTGGGTCTCGGATCGATTTACAGCAGACTGGGACTGTTTGTGTGAGTGCAGGACGGCAGGCAGCAGGTGCTGGGTGTCAGAATGTTTGCTCTTATTTCCCTCAGTCTAAAATTAGACCGTGGACCTTTTCTAGTGTCACCCAAAGATACTCCAGTATTCAGACAGAAAGCAAACAATTCAGCTCATGTTGCCACTCGAAACAACCAAGTTGACATATAGTATATAGTAAACATAACCAATGATTCATAAAAAAAATCAGTCAAATTTGAATATTAATTATTGTGATATTGTGTAAGCATTCGAAATTCCCTCTGCGGATTCAGTTTATTCCATTTCCCTTCTAAATACATTTTGTCTCACATAATCCTGGGTGCAGAGGAATGTATGTCACAATTATTATCAGTTAATTATGCTTCTGACCTTTGACATTCTTCTTATTGTTTGCTTGTAATGTCAGTGGCCGAGGAATTTGGACCCATTTTACTGCTGCTCACGTTTTAAGTTTCTACAGTTCCAAACATTAGCTAAATGCTACCACCCCTCCTCCCTGCATGGACCTGGTCACCCTCCTGTATGTGTCAATCACCTTCCTTTGGATTTACTTTTATTTCCTGCAGAGGTCATTTTTAAATCCGACAGTCTCCTTGAGAGACTATTTCTATAAGTAGTTTGTCATCATTTCAAAGTAGCCTCGCCATAAGCAACAGCTTTACATGCCTTTCTATTTCCAAGAGTGACGCTTCTTGTAGCCATGCAGCATCTTCAGGACCCAATTAAGAGTTTTGAAACCTGCTAATGAGCCTGATGTCATGAGAGCTCATAGTTTTCTAAAGCCGGCTGCAGACTTGTCTCAGAGCCATTAGCATGGTTTAAATCAGTGCAGTTGGAAAGCAGCTGAATTCACTATACTGGGAAAGACGATGAGCTCACCTACACAGTAAATGACAAAGGAAACAAAGACACAAGGTTTTTATCAAGTATTAAGGAAACAAACATCATAAAGTATTAAGGAAACAAACATCAGAAATCGGTTTAATTGAAGTTATTTAATTGTATTAAAAGATGTACTACTGTTTATGTACGGCCTATCTTGAGATTTTTATTCAGTATAAACAGAAAAAAGACTCACTATTAGCTTCACTACCTTTTGCAAAATTATACCAAAGTGTCACAGGAAATTGTTTAAACATTTACATTTCCAACCTAAAGCTTAAAATACAGAGAATGATGAAGTGATAGTGGCTATAGTTTGTGCAGTATCAAAGATTTTTCTTCATAATCCAAAAGTCCAGCATTTGTTTCACAAATCTTCGTAGAACTGTCCAGCTGAAAAAGAAGAAAAACAGCTCAGCATTTATACATGTCATACTAACAGATTTAATGACCTCAATCTAATATCTATTCATAATTAATAAAAAACAAACTCTGTTATTATTTGGCCAGCTGCTGAGATGTCTGGCATTAAATATGTACTTTCTAGCCCGACTCTGTATTGGGAGAAAAACTCCTCAACATTTCCAGCTGCTTAGGGATTGAGAACATCACACCATGCAACCAGCACCTCATCAAAGTCCTGCTCTGACGTCTTAATAATCTAGTTGGCTTTTAAGTCATAAAAACTAATGCCAAAACAGTGTCATTATCAACGTCTTTAGCCAGATGATGTGTAACCTCTTCATGAGACAAAATTTAATTAATATTAACTACAAATGATGTTAGAAGCATTTGTTATCAAGCAAATATGCCTATTATGATGAATAACTTTTGCTTAGTATTTCTGGCTAAAGATAAACAAACTGATGTGTCTCATCTGTCTTACAGGAGTGTGAAATGCTGATGGAAGTAAGCTACAGTAACGGGCTGGATCCTGACCTTTCCCAGCAGTATCCTCCACCCTTACTGCCAAAACCAGGCAAAGACAACGCAAGGCTCCAGAAACTCAAGAAGAAGCGTGCCAAGAAAAAAGGCAGCCTCTCTCAGACACCCGTCCCCTTTCGCTCCTGCTTGTCGCCTGTCAATGAAGCCAGCACAGACCTCGAGCACAGTGACCAGTCCAGCCCACCAAGGACACCAGATTCAGTCTACATTGCAGACTCTTCACTGTCCGGTTTCCCCTTTGGCTCCCTCTATGATAACTCTGCATCTGCATTCCCTCATCCTTGGAGCAGCACCTATAGCCAAACTGCCAGCTTCTCCCCTCAATCCTACATAGCTCAGATCAGTGAAGAGCAGGTGGCTCCGTTGTATGAGTGCTCCTCTTTTTTATTCGATGACGTTACTCCCTTCATGATGCCACCTTCAGGTTCAACACCCTCATCACTACCTGAGCAGGTTCCAGCACCACCTCTTCCTCCTGTTTTCAATTTAAATATGACACCAAATTCCCATGGGTCAGTCACAACAGTCCCTGCAGTCGCTGTGTCGCAGTCCAGCACTAAAATATCAACTCATAGCTTGACCCTATCCCCAGCCGCCCCCAACTGTGGCCCAGGCCAGGCACCTTCTCAAGTTGCATACCTACCTCCTGTTCCATTGCTGCTATCAGTTTCAAACACTCAGACACAGCCTTTTATTTCCAGCCAGAGGGAGACAAACGCCAGTTTAAAGGACAACCCTCAGAGCCAGGCATCGTCTTGGACTGCCCGACCTACCAGTAATGGCAACTTTGTTCCAAGCCAGATGTCCCCTGAGATAACCGCCTCAAAAATATCACTTGTTGAAGCTGCGAAAGAGACAAGGCCTGACACTGCACAAACCAGGATTTATACATCGAAGGCAACTTTTTATGAGATCTCTAAACCTCCCTCCATGCAGGACCTCACAGTAAATAACCAAGCCAATCAGGGAGCATCGGTATCGGCTGTATACAGGGAGAAAGCAGCTGTGTCAGTGGTGAAAACAGATCAGAAACTGTCTGTGTCCAAGTCCCAATGTGGAAGACCTAAAACTCCCTCTTGCACACCAGCTCGAGTATCCACACCCTTTTATGAAATATCCAAACCGAACCCACTTTTATTTGCTGCAAGTCCTGCTTTCAATTCCCCCCAAGGTTTACAAACTCTTGCAATTCCCAACGAGGCTCCGAGACACAAATCAGCGATTCAAACTGACAGCATAAGTAAACCTGCAGCTCCCACAGAAGAACTGAAGTTGACTGATGTTAATCACATTACTTCAATCAAACAAGCCAACAATTACAAAGAGATAGAGATTCAAAATGCACAAAGGAGTACAATAAATACTGAGCTGTACCCCAGTGAGAAGGTGGCATCAAGTATGACTGCACCTGATTCTGCTCTGGTTAAACCTACAGTAATAGAACCAGTCATCCCAAAACTACAAACAGAAAACCAAGTTTCTGAAAGAGAAGTTTCATATTTGCCAAAGGTTCCATCATTCTTCTCCACTGTACCAAATACTTCAAATCTCAACCCTCTGTCAGTGATATCCATGCAAGCCCCAACAAGTCCAAGTCCCCTGCTGTCCATCTATCATCCTCCTGTGGTCGAGGCACGCAAGTCTTTGACGTCACTATTGGAGAGTCAAATGTCATTAGCAACCTCAAAGCCCAAATCACGATCAATGTATTATGGGCTTACTCCAGCTGAGTATGTTGCCTATGGTGGGATTAGGACTATTACATCACATCACAGTCCTGTACCCCCTGGGGTTAAGGAAAGCTCTTCAAACAAAACACAGTCAGATGTAGCTGTAGAAGAATTACACGTCTCAAAGTCTGATGCAACCAAACAACTTAACGGACAGCAAGATCTTCCCTCGTCCATGGAGGTTTCTGCTGCTCACAGTTTGCAACCTCTGTCAATTCCAAGGGATTCTGAACGGATTGTCTCACATAGCAAAGATCTGTTTGAGGAAAGTCAGTCTGAAGCTCACAGTACTGGAATACAATCACTTAAAACATCTAGCATGGACACAATAGAACCTGAGCTTCCCCTTGGCTTGGCACAGAAAACAATGCAACAATCTACAAGTGATGTATCCACACCAAAAGCCTCGTACTCTGAGGCTCCAATACCAATACCTAAAGCAGGTGAGGTACACACACAAAGTGCAGAACTATTTTCTATAGGGGCAGCTTTAAATACAACTCCATACCTGACTGATAGCAGTGGCCTGTTGAGTTCTTCCTCACCTTTAGTGAAAGTCGATTCAAATGCAGAAATACAGCATAGTGTAAAAGGGATAGATATCATAGAGAAAGGTGAAAATGAGAAAAAGCCTATAAAAGGAGAATCCGAAGTTGTAAATGCAACACAACAGTCAGGACAAATAGAGTTAGCACCCGTTCAGTCTTACCAAACTGCTGGTGGAGTTAGTCTGTCAACAGCCAATGGTGTCAATGTTCAGCTCACTGCCAAGCCTGTCAAACACCTTGCTGATTGTAAAAACCTGGTTATTCAGTCTCCTGTCACAGAGTTAGAGGCCAAATTATCAGGGAGTGCCATCATAAATGGTGCATTCATCTTAGGAAAACAACAAGCCCCCAAACTGATTTCAGAAACACCACTGCCTGGAATAGTGGCTACTGAAGCTGTTTTACACAAACAGAGGGAAGAGGTTAATCAGCATATCAAAGCAAGCAGCGGACTTACTCTACCCAATAAAACAAACATGGGGAACACCTTCCCTTCTGTGACTGCTAATATAGAAGGAATCTTTGACAAAATAAAAACTGAACCCCAAGTCTCAAATATATTCTCTAAAGAATCAATTATTGCTACCACAGGATCCATTTTGCCACATGAGCCTGTCACAGCATCTGTATGTTCTGCAAAGTACAATATCTGCACAGTATCTGCAGCCATCCAAGGCACAAAAATCCCACAACAGCCCAGCATAGAAATTCAAAATCACATGGATAGCAAAATATTAGAAAATAAGATCCATTCACCTGGAGATGGTCTCTCTTTGAAATCTTCTCAAGCACCAAGTATACCAAACACACCGACTTTTAATACTAACTGGGGAAAACCTACCACAGGAACCAGACAACCAGACCTATCTGTCACTGCACCCAAATCACCCAACCTTTTAGATATTAAATTCTCTTTAGATATGACCTCCAATATGCCCACAAAAGAGCCCCCAAAGTATACCAGAACTACTGAAAACGTACCTCTGATGACACAGTATAGCATTGGGTCCAGTGCCCAAGATAAAGTTGTTCAAGGAGCAAGTTTCTATACAAATTCAAGCAGAGCTATACTAGAGGCCACACAAGCAACTGAAACCAGTCTCAACATCCTTGCGAAAAACACAATATTGTCGAGCCTAGTTAATGTAGAGCCCAGACTCCCCAGTTACCCTTCCCAAGTACTCACAGAATTGCATCCACAACCCACCAATAGAAGAGTAGCTTTATTGACTGGAAAAACACCAACGGAGCATCTTCCCACTATACCTATTAGAGAAGAAAACATTCAAACAAAATGTGTTATTGAAACGAGACCAGAATCTAATCTTTCACAAGGAAACAAAGTACCTAACACTGAAACCAAACTGTCCAACAAACCATCTGCAGGATTGCTAACTGTCAGCAAGTCTTCGGCAGACGTGGTCTCACCTGGACAACCAGGAGGTGTAGTGGCTATTCAACACAGCAGACCTGTTGCAACTGCACAGTCAAACAGATCCAATTTGGGCAACAATGTCAGTATTCCTGCTGTTGACACCAAAGTTCCCCACAAGCTTCATAATGAAGTTATTTTGCCTGTGGTGACAGACCCAGCATCCCAAACATCTTTCAATACTGTGCAGGTTAGTAAAGCTACAGTGCCATCTAGCCCTACTATGAGGCACGTCACACCAAAAAGCCCTAAGCTGAGATCAGACAGACCTGCAACAATGCCAACCATTGATGCAAAACCTGTTTCTGGGTCTGTTGCTCAAACAAAAGTCTACGCAAATTCAAAAGCACCAACTGCCAACCTTCTTGCTGAGCAATCTGCAACACATATTACTAATAAAACCACCACCATAACAGAGCTATCCCCTTTCATTCAGCCAATTATAGTCAATAAATCTGTACCTAGTCCCCCTACAAGAACAAAAAATTCAACAACTTCCTCTTCTTCTGGTTATGCCATGGCTAACATATATAGTGTTAGTGTAGATCAGCAAACCATTGCAAAGCCAAATCAAATCGTATCTGGAGACAATGCTCATCCCTTTGTGAATTCAATGAACTATCAGACTGGAGTGAAACAGATTAAGCAATCTGTCACTGAGACGAAGAGATCTATAGAAACTAACATTCACACTGTAAAAGCTCAAACAGCCTCACACACTGATTTAAATAACCCCAGTGCTATAAATATTCAGCCCCTTGCTGAAACCACCAGAACTAAAGCCCCACTTAGCCCTGCTACAGTAACTAAACCTTGGACTGCAACAAGAGCTTCCCCTCTACCAGAGCAAAGAGTGGGTAATACACCTATTCGAACGTATACTCCAACCGTACCCCAGTCCCCTCAAACTTCTGTGTCTTTAAATCATACTACCGAAACAAAACCCCCGTCAGTCATTATAAAAGACCACACAAAATCTCCCATTATGCCTCTTAGAAATAATACACCTACTAGCACTGTTCAGCCCTCTGCTAAGTCAATCAAAGAGAATATCTCTAAAGCAGAAATAAAATCACCCACCACTAAGGACACTTCGGTTCTGGCTAAGAGTGCTGAGGTAAAAGTACATTCCGAAAAGCACAAGATAAAAACTAACCTAGCAACAAATTCCAGTAAGGAAGGAAAACTCTCCTCACTGAACACTGAAACTAGCACTCCCATTCATTCTGCTGATCCCGTTTTAACCAGCCAACCTACTCTAAAAGCACAACCTCCCACTAAACAGGTAGTTCCAAGACCTTCCTCTGCCACTGTAGAAACAAAACCTCCCCCCAATCCGGTCCAGATTAGCTCACACATCAGTAATGTTCAGCCTTCGACAGAGCTACCAGTAGAGAACATTTCCCCCGCAAAGCCTGCAACAGATACTGTCATGAAACCGTCCGTAGTTAAAGCCGCTGTGATTGACTCTGCCACTCCTGCCTCTCTGCCTCAGGCCTCAGTCTCAGTCAAAGCTCCATCCCCAAACAGAGGAACGTCACCGCCATCTCAGCAAAAAACTGGATTCAAAGACAGGACCAAAACTACAGCTGCACCGAAGGAAGCCCAAGCAGTCGAACCCTCCACGAAGTCAGCGACATCAACTGCATCTTCAACTGACAAGAAAGCCATTAAAACAGAGACATCCCCTTCATCCGCTGAGCCCAAAGCAGCCCCGAAGCTAAAAGGCCTAAAGGGTAAGCTCAGCGGATGGTCAAGGCTCAAGAAACACATGGTTGTTGAGCCAGAGGAACCTGAGTTTCCACAGCTGGAGCCCAAATCTCAGGTCGATTCCAGTGGCAGCAACGAGAAAACAGATCAAGGTGATGATGATAAATCGTCAGCAGACCAATGTGCCAATCAGGAGGTGGTTACGAACAAAGAAGGTCCCAAAGCGTTGAAGATGTGGGACGCCCTCCTCTTTCAAATGTTCTCTACCAAAGACCGAATCATGCACCAGATCAACACCAGCAAGAAAGATTCAGAAGACAAAAAGGCCCCTAAAGAATATCAAGGAGAGGTTCCCTCTTTTGTCAATCGCCTGCCAATTTTGTTGTACAGCCCCCGTTTTGATGCCAGGAAGCTTAAAGAGGCAGCGGAAAAACCACTCACAAAAATAGCAGCAGTGTTTGAAAAGGGGCTGATAAAACGCAAAGGCCAGGAAGATGAACAAAAGGACTTCAATAGGAAAGCCAGAGGATTCGGCTCGACGAAGAAAACAGATATGTAACTTGATAAGCAATGTGTGCAAATATTGTGTTATTCAGCACAAAATAGAGAGGTGCAATCTCAGGTAGGTGAGGGAGCCTCTGAGAAAATGAATAATACGAGAGAATTTGGAAGTAAATAGACATCCACATTTGTGGATTTCTGCAGAATAGCTGAAGTCAATTTTAAAAGTCAAGGCTGCTGTGAAGAGGTAGATTATTCTTGAGGGGAAAACAGATTTAAAGTGTCATTGATTACTGCTTAATCACCATCTACCTGACCCAATACTGGAGTTAGAACTTAGAGCTTAGAATGCAAAGAAAGTTTTACTAAAAGAAAATTCATCCCAATGTCAAGTAAGTACTAATATTGACATATAATGACATTTTCATCAGTTGTGGTTATTTAAGATGTATGATACAGTATAGTGTATAATTTAGCTGTTAAAGGTCTATAATAGTTTAACGGTAAAATAGGTGTGGCATCTTTGCACTTTTAATAAATCATACTAGGATGTGAGTTGACAAGAAAGGAAAAATATAGGGCAAAGAAAGAAAGGAGCCTTATATACTTTGCAACTCTACTTGATTAGATTTTTCTTTTTTCATGACAGCCTATATGTAGTGTTGAATGCATGCACTGTAGATAATTTGATAGATAAAAGATTGTTTCATTTGTCACGCTGTACTTTTTTCTATTTTTCTAAACAAAGGCTTTTAGTGTACACCGCTGATAGGCAGTGTTTAACCTCTGTGATAAATAGGGCTTTTACATTCCTGGAACAATGGAACAGATGGAATTTGAAAGAAGGAAAACAGAGATGGATGAAGGATGAAGGTCTGGTCAAAACAGATTTAGGTTTCTGCAAGTCAGGTATGGATGGAAATAAAGTGCCGGATGTCTGGACTTTCGATCAGGGCAGGAAACTACAACCATGCAGGTTGGTACGTCCTGGGGCTGCGCAATGTAGAAGAATATAGGTTTATAGATGCTTAGGTGATTTTTGTTTGTTTCTTGTGGCTCTTGGGATGGCAATGTTGGATCTGTTGATCACTTTGTTCTTCCCTGTAATATCTCAACAACTATTGAATGGATTGCCAATATATTTTGTACAGACATTAATGGTCCCTAGAGGACGAATCCTGCTGACTTTCCTTGTCTGTACTTTGTGTTTGGTGCTAATTAGCAAATGTCACCATGCTAACACAATAGACTAAGATAGTGAACATGTAAACTTTATACCTGTGTAACAACAGCATGTTAGCATTGTAACAGTGAGTTAACATGCTGATGTAAGCATTTAGCTAAAAGCACTGTTGTGTCTTAGTACAGCCTCAAAAAGCCCATTAGACCACACAGTGATGGGAAGTCAGACTGTAATCTCAAGTGGTAGAAAACTAACATTATATTTGCTTTTTGGTGTTATTTGAGACCATCATGTCATGCATTGCCCAGTCCCACGTCCCAGAATCAAATTCCTGTTTTGTAATTTCACAGGATTTTGTCAGAACTCACTGCTTTTATAATTTGAATGATGTTAAGGACTGATGATAAAGGGCCATACAAATATTTCCAGGCAGAAAGCGTAGCGACCATGTTGGTGGATACTAATTTCCTGCTTTGTAGTGTAATGTCCAGGACTTCATTACTCAGTTATTACAATTTTACTGAGTTTTGGATGTAACTAGTATGTAGAAGTGAAGACCAATGAATGGAAATGAAGTGATAGCTGGAGACGGACAGATATCAGATGATGAGTGTGATGTTTCACAGGTTTGGAGGATTCTGCTGTTGTAGCAGATATTAGCACGTTGTTGTTTTGTCCCTATATTGGATTTAAAAGATGACCACCAAGATGTGGAATTTATTTTAGATGAGGGGGGGCTTTACCCCTATGAACTAACCACTGCCCCATTTAGTACACTGATGCTTAAACTATAACATATTTTGTTTACTGTGTGATTCTCAAAAATGCATAAAGTTGAATGTGGAACTCTTGTCTTGTATATCTCTCCTTATTTCTCTCTTTATTAACCACAATGCTTTGGTTTATACCTAAAATACCGTAAAACTTCCAATAAAAGCAGGGTCCCTAATAGACGCAGGTCTCTTTTAAAAGCCTGGTGTGGCTACACGTTTTGACAAATAAACACAGGTCTCCAATAGAGGCCTGGTGTGGATTTTATAGAAATTATCTCGATGTATAAAACCTCTTAAAACCCGCCGGGTCGCCCGCTTGAGCGAGGTTTAAGATGTTTCAATCTCCTACACAAATAGAAAGGTTTAAACTTCTGTTAATATGTACATAATGCTCTTTGTGCAGATCAGTTAGATTCTCCACAATTCAATCTTTCACTATATTTTACGAAAACTATCAACAAAAAAGTATAACGTTAATTTACTTACCAGTAACATGGTAAACAAGAGAGACGGAAAAAAACATAATATATCATTATAATCATGTTAGTTGTCAAATTTGCTGAACAAAACTCAAGAGAAGCAGCAGTTAGTTTAGTTTTCTGCTAAAGGAATTAAATGCCTGTCCCCAAATAGAGGCCTGTCCCAAATAAAGGCAGGGGGAGTTCAGTGATTTAAGCAAATAAACACCCTGGCTAATATTAGAAGTTTTACGGTATAGCAAATTAAATAAAAATAAAATAAAAAAATATAGCAAAAAAAAAAGTTCAGAACTGTTATTACAGCTGATAAGTCCTTGTTAAAGGATAAGGCTTCTGTTATTCTACATTTTGTTCTTGTCAAATCCCATGAAAAGACCAAAACCAACAATGTGTTTATACATCTCTCAGTACTTTCTGACTCTATAGTTTCATTTTTAAAACTGGCTAAATAATATCTTGGAACAGCTGGCCACTGTAGTTTTAGCAAACAAGAAGAAATAGTGCATTTATCGGGTACTATTTTGTGACGGATGGTAGAGCGTCTTACCTGACTGGCAGTTTGTATCTTCACTGCAGCTATTGTCAACAGAAACCTTCTCATACTTGCCGTGACCCGTCACCACAAACCTATGTCTTTTACCACTGGAGCTCTCCTGAAAGTAATTTGATAAAACAGTATTGATCAGAGACAGATTCACTGCAGCGTGTCCTCATTCATCCAATCAGGTCATGTAATTACAATTAAAAACTTTTCTCAATATTTTCCCCTTATCTCTGTGGTAAATCTTTCTTATTTTGTTCCTTAAATTACAACCATTTCTCAATAAATAAAAGAACATCAGTTTAAAGTTACTGTGTAGAAATCTTTGATTTAAATTTTTTTGAAAAATCTAGAAAAGCTTTTGTTTTGTCTGTTTGTGTGACTGGTTTATTTGTTTGACTCCCTTATATCAGCTCCCATGGTGTCCCTGAATGCACCTTTGTATGACAAAATATGAACAGAACTCCTCTCAAAACATATTTTCAGACTAAATAAATGTTAAAGGAATGGAAAATGAAGTGCAAAAACTAAAATCAGTTTGCTGTTATCTGTCAAAAAGAAGCATTGTGTATTTGTGACTCCTTATCGCAGGTTACAACTTTAGTGCAAACATGAAGAGGTGATAGTATCCAATATTTTAGAATATAAAAAGAAATAAAAATAATAATAATAATATATATAATAGATTTTGAGATAAATAAAGTAAAATAATTTTAACAAATAATAATTTTGTGTGAATTTTTTCCTTGTCCCCTCAATCCTGTAGTAACCCCTCAGATTAATTTTGGGACTGGAAGTAAAACTGTTTTTTTTGGTTGAACTGATCATGATTTTCATCCACACTAAGCTCATAGACTGTGACAGTGGGCTCACAAATAAACATAAAGCATTAGTTTGTCATTTTTGCCTGAATGATCTCCATGTGAAAGATTTGAGCGATGCCGCTGCAGCCACAAGGGGGCAGACTTTCCTTAACTACTCTGTTAAACTGAGCTGAGATGATTTACATTTACACCAGATGAAAAAGAGACTGGGGCGTGGTTGCACTCAGCAGAAAAGACCGAAAAGAGTTTCATGCCTTAAGTGAACCCAAATGAAGTAAAGCAGCTAAATACGTTATCAGACAGGGAGTTGAGGAGACAACTGAGAAGAAAGAAAAGTTTACAGAATTTATAAATAAAATCTTATCCCACAGAACTGTAACTTCAAATGTACAGTGATACAGCAAAGAAAGAGAGAGACACGTTTCACACGATCACAGGTACAATTCGGACTTACTGCTGATTTGAAAGGTGAGCTGCACCGGCTTCCATTTTCACTTCCTTTCACCCACTGATTAATGAGATCAGCCACACCTACTTTTAACCCGTCTGCATCCTGAGACAGAAAAGAAGAAATGTTGGTTGATGCTTGTAAATGAAGAAGAGGAGTAATTCATCAGTCGTGCTGTAAAAGTATATACATATATGATTAAGTTAATCAACTTCATCGTTAACCTTAGATGGTGTGACTGAGACCACGTTTTGGTTCCAGGCTTCTCCAGCCTCAAACAGGTTCTTCTTGGAGGAGACGGGTTCAGTGGGACTCGTCAGGTCCGTCAGCACCTGATTGCCTGATCTGCCTTCCTTTGAGGAGACCTGTGCAAAATACAGTAAGATTCAGAACTGTGTTTGGTTTACAGGAAAAGGAACTAAGTTAGACTTAATCATTGACATATATAAAGATGGACGACGTGACAGCTCTCCAGAAGTGAAGCCAAAAAATCTTGATTGCCCCCTGGTGGCTAACTGGAAAGATGCTAGCGGCTGTATCCTGGATATTTTGGCTTCATTTTTGTACAGTGGGAGAAAGTGGAGACGCGGCATCCATCTTTTATATGTCGATAGTCCTAAGTCTGGCAACATATTCCTTTACTTTTTTACTTTTGTTGACTACTTTGAAGTAGAATAAGTCTCCTCTCTGCTCATGGTTAATGGCTGCTTACCCATTATGGTTTCTTTTAAGACCCAAAGAAAACAACCAAACAAGACTTGCTCATATTGCAGTTGCCAGTTTGTGGAAGTACTGTTAGAGTTTACCTACTCATTGATTAAGTCATTAAAAAAAAAAAAAAAAACACTAAAAAATAGAAGGTAACTGATTAGGGTTTTACCTCGAGAGCATGTGTATACTGCTCCAGTTTCTTGTCAATCTTGGAAACGGCAACTGGTGGCTGTGTCTTTTTTACGTTGCTGGTGCTTTAAAAGAATGGATACATGATTTATAACAGAAGTATACTTTCATCATGACTGACCTGAACAAAGTACAGATGCAACTGTTTTAACAGTAACATACAGACGGGTAATAAAAAAAAGGAAAAACTGAATAAATGAGTGGAGAAATGCTGTAGCCTACGCGGTTGAAAGATTTCATCCTGACTGAACACCAATGGGCATTTTAGGAGAGACCATCGCCATCATCAACACACCAAATGAGGGAATATCCTTTGGAAAATGTATGTTCATCCCTCCAGTAGAGGTCAGAGACTTAAAGAAAGGGACACAGTAAGTCTGAGTCAGAGTTGCGGGTGCTGAGAAAAAAATCAGTCTACATAATAACGTCATACAAAATGCCAAATGCATGACATTCATTGTTTTGGCATTAATTTGAATAGCCAGGATAATGTATAATCTATTCAATAGTTATTAACATCATTTTGCACAAATGTTAAAACGTTTTAGCAGATAAAACTGATAAAACACAAGGCAAAACCTCTGCCATAAATACCAGTGTACACATGTAAACCCCAGTAAAAAAGGAGAAAGTCATAAGTTTAAACATTTTTATGAACTAATGGTTTTTATCATGCCAGGTCCCTCGCAGCGCCCCTGTGCTTGAAGCTGTTCTGGAGGCTCGTGATGTTCCAATACTAAAACACTTCATGTTGGCTTTTCCTTTCATTTGTCCCCCATCTGTATGTTACATGAGCTAAACACACCCGAAACTTTGGAAATAGCAAGTTATGTTTGACTGTATTTAAGCACTGTGTCTGTTAAGGAGGAATCAAACTTTCTTCTGAACTCTGTTACACAACTAAATTAGATTTTTATCCCGAGGAATATTTCCAAGAGATGGTGTGGCGCTGAAGACAGACGTCAAACCCAAAGAAGAACAGTTTCCTGCAGCTCTGATGTACTGTAGCAGTCAGTGAGGCTAATTGTTGCATTATTATAACGCTCAGTCAGTCTCACAACACATAAACACAGACTCACCTTTTCCTCAGAGACTCAGTTCTCTCTATGATCTGAGAAAAGAGTTAAGACAATCGATGGTTAGAACTCACACTGTGGAAATGACCTACAGTATCACTTTTTATTGAAGCAGGCTGCAGTTCAGACCTACAACTGCCACAAAACTGTAATTTGTACCTATTAAAACCTGACTTGTTTTCACAGATCAAGACAGAAACTCATGTTCCTTTACTGGTGTGTTTCTGAAGGGTAGGAGTTAGAGAGAAGCCCTTAAATCTGGAACATGGACTAGACTGAAACGAGCAGTTCAAGACTTCACTCAATTCAGTTTTCCAGGTAGTTCAGTAATCCTGGTTGAAGAGACAGGGTCTAATTTTATCACATTAGGAGAAATTTGCTATATTTGCCCAAAGATTGGCTGAAGAGACTCTGTGTCTGTTTACTTGATGGGGTTTTGAAAGACATAAGGTTGACAAAATAATAATGATAATGACAATAATAAAATAGATAAATAAATTGGCAGCTGTCGACCTTTGAGCTTTGACCCTTGACCCTGACACTCGTCTACAGCAGCACTCACCTTGCATTTACCGTCTGTTGAGATTCTGCTGTTTGCTTCATCCTGTAAAGGGACACACAGTGTGCTGAGATAGAGTTCACTGCAGGCTCCAGCAGCTAAATGACAATGTGTACAACTCTGACATGCAGAAAGTTGCTCCTGTTTCACTTAGAGTGTGAAATCAGTCCAGCACAGTGTGACACAAATGAACCCCTCACACTAGGGAGGCAAGATATATGTTGATATGCAGATTGACAATGCCGATATA